AAAGTCTGAGCATCGCTTCTAATTGCTGGGTTTCTTTCCAAGTTGAACACATCAACAAGTACATCATACATAAATCCACTGAATACCTATTAAAAATAATTTTTAAAAAAAAAAATTAATAATCATCATACATACGTACGTATATATATATATATATATTAATTAATTATTTATTTATTATTTATTACCAAAGACATTGCATGTACTTCACTTTCAGCTGTCGAACCTCTTATATCATTTATTAAGTTTCTTAAACCTTTGCCCTTATTCTTGTACAAATACTCGCCAAATTCTTCACCAACAGCTGATAAGAAATTATTAGTGTCTCTGAGATTTGATTTTGTAAGAGTGATCAAATTATCTACCAAATCTGGCATTGAAATAATGACAAACATTGAACACAAATCACCGAACGCTTCGTGAAGAGCTCCGGTCTGACCATCAGCCAACCAACCCGGTTGTATTATATCAAGGAAGGCGTGACCTGTCTCATGAGCCACAACATCAAGTGATCGACAAAGATATATTGGAGTTTGTCCTGGTCTTCGTTCATAGAAGAATTTCAACACTCCCTCCTCTCTACTATAATATGCGTTAGCATCGATTCCAGCATGTGGGTGTATTACTAATTTTTTGTTTCCCCATGGTCTAGGAAGAATTGGTGGTTTGCCATCAAGATACTCGATATCACCTTTGAGTAAACTGTACGTATATTTGACAACAGAGAAAGTGTGCACAACATCAAATTTGACTTGTTGAGGTGATGGTGGCGGATTTTGAGATTTGTCTTCAATAAAATCCAATAGGATATCACCATTTGCATCTGGAGCAATTGGTCCAGAAGTTGAACTGGTGGTTAACAATGAATCGGTTGGACCGGTAGTGATATCGGATCCTGGAAAGTAAAGCGCTCTGATACCGATTGATTTAACGAAAGGATCGGCTTTCCATACATTTACTCTTGTACCTTTACCAGCTGGTGGGGCTGCGGAAACCAAGGATGTTTGATGTAATCTTGATGCTAAATATTGTGCACTCCTACATTATTATTACATAAATACGAGAATATGTGTGCGGTTAGGAAGAGAATATGATAAAATTAAATAATCCATTAGTTATAAATGTTTAACTACCTTGGGTAAATGTTTTGATCATAATCAAATAATGCATAGACTAATTTTCTTGGATCTTTTAAATCATAATTTGCAGTAGCAGATCCATTCTTTGACGGATCAATTTGAAGGTATTTTCCATTATTACCAATGATAACAGATTTCTCAAAAAAATCTATCAAAATAATTATAATAATTATTGTTAAAATTGCTAATAATAATAATAATAATAATAATAATAATAATATCCAACATAACCATTAATCACACAAAAACATATATATTACCAGGATGAGGAACAAACGTAAATAATTGTTCAGATTTAGGAACAATTCCATCATGAGTTGTTTCTCCATTTGTAAATGATAAATCACCATGTTGATCGTTGGTGAGTGTTAAAAATTGACCTGATGAATTTCTCCATGCGACCAATGGTAAGGTGACTGATGGAGAGAAGGGGGGGGGGAGGGGAGGGAGGAAAAATTAATATTTATTTTTAATGATGATAATAAAAAATATTTTATATCTATCTAATTATTATATACCTAATTTTAAATCTTTAAGAATTGAAGGGTATTCGATATTCACATTATCTCTTGTATAACCAATAGAATGATTATAGGTCAATTTGTCTTCGACAATAAATACAGCTGAACGATCCCAACTATTTTGTGCACTATATAAATCAAACAATCGTATATAAGTATGTGCACATACACACAAATTAATTTATATCATATAGATAAACAGAATATAAAATTTACATACGTTTTACTAGTGTGAATTTTATTTCCATCGAAAATTCCAAGATAAGATTTATATTTTCTATTGTACAACGAATAATAATTACCATAGTTTTCTAACAACATGATAAAATTCACGTGGTTAGTTAAAATATTATGATCACATGGCTTCGACAAATCATGTTGCATAAAAAATAAATGAACAAATACCAATTCTCCATTGTTGAGCAGGATTACTAAGATCGTAAAGTTCTTTGACGATTGATCCATCGGCTTTCATGACTAATGCATGTTTACTTTTATCGATGAATCCAAAGTAACGATAGACTGAACTAGTTGGTGTTGCCTGGGCACTTCCTGCTGAGATGAATTGAGGACTGTTGGCTGAAGTGTTGATTCCGAAACTGAATTTACTTTGATTTATAACCCAAGAAGTATGCGCTAATTTTTTTTTTTTTTGGATTAGAAAAAAATTATATTAATATTTATATTAATATGCACACCTACATATTCTACGCATTAAAATATAATTACCAAATTTTCCAGTTAATTCGGGTTCGAAACCACTTGAAGCAGCGTTGTAAGGTTTATTAGATTGGCCCAAAAAGCTGATATCACTTCCAATTCTTTTTAACTTGTTGCCTTGACCAAAAACATTTTCTCTTGACCAGCCAGCCAATTGATCATGGAAATCGGAGATGTAAATTGGGAAATTGATACTCAGATCTTTCATGACATTTTGTGGAATAATACCAGATGACCAGGTACCAGTTGCAACTCTAGAGACCAATCGAGCAATTTTATTCCCGGTACCGATTACTTGTTCACGTTGAACTTTTAAACTTGTGGCTAAATCATTGGTGACATCATTGGAAATGATTTTTTCCCAATCTTCAGAAACTCGGAATAAAGCATCATCCTTTTGGGTTTCTTGAATGTGGCGAACTAAACCTTCAACATGATGCTTATCAAAGTTTTTGGCAATATAACTTTGTTCCTGAGTTGCGAGTCCTTGAGGAAGATATACTGAAGCCATGATAAAAAGTTTCTGGTTAGAATTAAACTCGGGATTAGGATAATAATTATTGTTGTTATTAAAAATAAGAGGGCTTTTTATTTTAGTTGTTGGATTGAATAATTGCTTTGAAATTTTACAATTATTATTAATACAATAATTTTTATAAAACAATTTTTCAAAAGTTTTTGATGGAGAGATGGAAAAATATCGTTTATATAGCATTTTTCAAATAGTTAGTTGCCTCGCCATTTAATCATTATTTTTGATTTCAATAACAGATTTAAATACAATTGAATTGAATTTGAATTGAACTGATAATCTGCAAATAGGCATTGTTCTCAATAGAAAATTCGCCAAGAAAAAACAATTGAACCTGTAATTTTTGTGTAAAAATGCAGCAGGATTTAGAATTAGAATGTTTATTATTATTATCTATCAAAGAACAGTTTTTATTATATAATTAAAATCAGGAAAATTCATGACTTAAAAAATGATGTCGTGTAAAAATGATTTAGCAAACAACATCAGGAAAATAAATCGCATGTAAACCTACGCAGGGTTTAAAACTGACCAGCATTATGCGGAAATGTTAACAGAATTACCAAAATATCGACATAATGCTGGCCAATTCTGAACCCTACGTAGGTTTATGTAAGATTTATTTTCCTGATGAATTAAATATAAAAAATACAATCTTCGCCACATATTTACTCACCAACTCCAAGTTATCATCCGATTACAGAGGTTTGCTTCTGTGTTGAAAGAGTAATATCAAAATAATTAATAGCTAATATTAAATAATCTTAATACAGTGCGTAATGTGATAAGTCATCGAATATACCTAACATACAGGTGGATCTTTTCAATTGAAGACGAATCTTTCTATTAGAAACACATTAAACAATTACCATATGTTTCTTTGTCTATTTCGAGGAAAGTTAAAATAGCTGTTTTCCGATTCCTAGAAAGCTCTCTAATCGAATTATCTAACCATATTATAGTGCGCGCCATCAAATGCTGCGTCACTTCCAATGATACTCTTTGATGTCACGGGAGTATAAAATCACATGACTCAATCATTTTATCGTCATGCTGATTTCTGTATATACCACAGATTATTCCAATTATCCGGTGAAAATTTTCAACACCCGATTAACCGGATAATCGGTGAATATCATTCGGCGGATACAACCACTACGTAATATAAGTATATATTCTCGTAGATAATAAATAAGTCCTTATTCTTCTTTTAATAATTATAAAATTGTTTAGATTGGTCGAAGAGCTACAATTAATTACATGAAGGTTTGTGGATCAATTTTTAATGATTCAAATATTGAACAAAATGATGAAAATAATTTCAAAAGACAATAAAACAAATTCTTGCTGCATCCATTAATAAATAAACTAAATCATCTAGAACCCATAAATCGTTAGAACTGCTTAGAAGGCCAAAGAAATCAATGAACTTTAAACACTTAAGATAATAGAAAATCGTGAATCTTCTTTGATTACAGAAAATATCCCTAATATAGAATTTCAATGGGTACAAATAATCAAAATCTATATAAATCTACTGAACAAGCTGAAAGACCAAATGGTTCGAATTTAGTTGAAACGATTACTAATCGATCAGAAGAAAACTTTGAATCCGGAAACTGCTCAAGTAGTAGAAGAAGAAATTCAAGCGATCAATATTTAGATAAATCTAGAGGTTGGAATCGTCCAAAAAATCCTTAGTCGACTAGATTTTTTTTTATAACAAATAATAATAATATTTCGTTTTTTTTTTTTTTAATTTGTAAATTACGAATTCATTTCAAAATACTTCCACACAAAACCATGTGTTACGATTCGTTTTTTTTAAAGGTCTTCTGAAACCACCGCTTAAATCATTGGAACTTGAAGCCAATGAACTATTGGACCTTGTATTGGAAGTGTTTATTCATTCACATGTAAAATT